AATTAATCAGGCAATTAGATAATACATAAATCTGCAATTTTCTAACAAAAGGAACATAGTATACAGGGTGGAAACGATAAGTGATCTCACTCGATTATTTCTAAACCATACAAGATATCGAAAAACTGGTTACTGATCCTAAAAGTGCTTCACGAGTTCTATCCAACGGTATCAATATTAAGTTACAGAATAAACTGGATCTATCCAAAAATCCAATGTTTCCATCCCCCATACATTTAGTACTACCACAGTCATGGCACTCATCTCTTGATACTTGATACAACACTTTATAGCAAGTAAAGCCTAAAACTAATTTTTTCCTTGAATAATTTTAAATAAAAATGCAATTTACGAGTTTTTTTTAGGTTCATTATTTAATTTTAAAAAATTACACTTAATATTGTGTGGTTGACATACATTTAGATGGAAGCTGGAAACATTGAATTTTCAGATACTTCCAGTTTATTCTGTAACCTGTTATTGGTACCGTTTGAAAGAGTTCGTAAAGCGCTTTCAGGGTCAGTAACCAGTTTTTCAATATCTTGTATGGTTTAGAAATTATCGAGTGAGATCACTTATCGTTTCCACCCTGTATACATGTACGAGTAGTAATTTTATAAGTCTTCTGGGAATGCTGAACTAATAACTCTGACAAAAAGACCACCACCATGAAACATGTCAAATACGTAGCATTTTCTTAGATATAGGTACTCGTAAGTTTGCAAAACTCAATTTTTGTTCTATCACTGACTTGAATCTTAAAGAGTCTGAATGTAGCTAGAAAGAAGGATGACAAATAAATGGTTTTACACGTAAAGTTACGAAAGTGTTCTCTAAAACCTTGACACATTGCTTTTGCTTAGCATGCGTATTACATACGTAATAAGTGGCTGACCAATTAGTGCTGAGTTTATTTCGGTCACCTTTGGACACAAAGTCAAAAAGATGCTATTATGCGTTTTTCTTTGTTTCAAGGATTCCATAAGGTACATTATGTGTCATGTGTGTTATTTGTCATAGAAGAATATTTTTCTAAAGGTTTGAAGATAAGATGGCAATTCTATGCCCAGATACCTACATAGTCTTGTAAAATTAGGCGATCAATTTGCAAAAAACCTTCTTTTATTTTAATAAAAAAGTTTTCAATTATTTTTTTCTATGATTCTGTTCATCATGAAGGCCCATGCCTTTTTACCCGACTGCGTCAAAAGGCGGATTATTGAATATTACACTCGCCTCTCGCCTCTATTTGTGACTCATGTCTAATTATTTTAATTAGAATCAATAAGAAATCTACTCACAAAACACTTATTTCAATTTGAGTCACCGAAAACACAGTTCAGCCCAAAATGTGTAATAACGATTGCCTGAAAACATTATTTTATCACTTTTTGGTGAATTACAGTCCGTATTTACATTTACATAAGCAGGTCTTGTATGCCTCCTATTACCAAGTAGGTATAATTACTTAGCACTATCCTGATAACGAACTAACAGAGAGTCTATGTTATTGGATATTGGAAAATACCCTTGGGTTTTCTCATAATTAAAATGTTTAGCTTATCTTTTGATTGAGATACTTTGTACCCACTGTACCCATATATTTTTAATTCCGGCTCTTTTTTTAGAAAACAGGATAGGTAAAGGTACGGTGTAATTTTAGTAGTCAAAATACTCGCTGAATTTTCAGTAAAAAGGATTCTCTCATCATCATCAAATTCAGACGCACTAATACTTCCAGTATTTTTATTTACACAGATTAACCAGCTATTTATGAATATTTCACAATTTCGAGTCTATTTGTTTAGAATTTTATTATACAGATATTTTTGACTTTGATTTTGAACCAAACGTTAACCCCACAGGGAACCGTCGATCCGTGGCGCGCTCTGCACCGTGACGCAGTTCTGCACAGCAATTGGAGTGATGTTGATGTACTTACTCGGGAACGTGTCTTACTGGAGAACTGCGGCACTAATCTGTCTGATTGCTCCTGTGGTTTCTATGCTGTTTGTGCTATTGGTGAGTGCCTTCCTGACAACGCAAGTAATGCTGGTTTATAGACAAAAAAATATTGTGTAACTTTTTACCTAGAACTTGATATATTTTTTCCACCATAGAAAAGCTCTTTACCTAAATGGAAGCGAACCCTCAACCACATAGGATAATCACCTTCAATTTATCTTAACACAAGAAAGCTTTTACTCTTAACATTGTAGTTATGGCGACACTTAGGTGAGGTGATAGCTAGCCAGGTGGACTTAAAACAAGCCCTAGCCTAGGACCTTCTGAAAATTTAACTTTGGACTTCTGTGTCTGAGACAGGTGATCTGATCTTACCACTAGACAACAGAAGCTGTTTTATTAAATTTCATGTTAATAATGTCTAATTTTAATGCACCAGATACCCGAAACCCCAGTATGGCTGCTCTACAAGGGCCGTGAAAAGGACGCCCTCAAGTCCCTCTGCTACCTCCGAGGGTGGACCACTCCAGACAACGTCCGGGAAGAGTTCAACGAACTGGTGGTCTACACGAAGAACCTGCAGCGCTGCGTTATATGCTGCCAGACTGATGAAGACGAGACTAAGGACTGCGAGCACTACAAAATGAACTTTATAAAGAGGTGGGTTGAGTTTGAATTTCGAGTTTTCTTTAGCCTATGCGCAGACCACCGATTTTTAGTTGGCCGATAGTTGGATGGGGCTGTTAATCAGTATAGAGATGTATGAAAGTGCGCACATTACACCGATTTGGTAACGACCGATTCTGCATATAAATTTGAATCTGGCCCAACCCAACTATCGGCCAATTAAAAGTCGGTGATCTGTGTCTAGACTTAAAATTGTTACCTGTCTAGACGAAAACATAAAACTTGTTTTCGAATCGATAAAAATAATGTGGTCGTAATTCAATCTTGCGTGATCCAAAATCCATGTTTGTCGTGTGTGGTATTACTACAATACTTGTATGGATTCATAGACTCCAACAAAATGATACTTCTGTCTTTTTATCAATAAATATTTATTTTCCAAAAAAGAGATACATATTCTTAACAAAATAATAATGTAAGCTATCAATCATCAACATAACTTCCAAAAATGGTGACACGTTCCAATGGTATCTATCACTATGTTCCGCTCAAAACATCGCATATTTCTTTCAGGGGCCTACTGAAGTTCAAATACGTCTTGTTGACCAAGGAGACCCTGAGGCCGTTCACGCTGGTCATCATGTACTTCTTGTTCCACACCATGAGCGGTCTGACCCCAATCAGGCCTAACATGGTCAACGTGTGTGGAGCGTTCGGCATGGCTGATGATGGGAAGCATATTGTGGTACGTACTAAAAGTCAGCCGGAAGACGTAGCGTGGGCAGGCCTCCTACTAGGTGGACCGACGATCTGGCGAAGGTCGCGGGAAGAATCTGGATGCGGGCAGCGCAGGACCAGTCGTTATGGAAAGCCTTGGGGGAGGCCTTTGTCCAGCAGTGGACGTCATTTGGCTGAAAAGAACGGACGAACTAAAAGTCCGAATTACTTTGCCAGAGGTCATGGGTTCGATCCCCCTACATTGACAAAACCGAATCTTACTGGCATAGTTACATCTATTTTCTACAGATACCACTGGATATGACTCGATGATCTTTGACATTTTATATTGCAATGAAAGATTACATAGGTTATATAAATAGTACACCTTGAGCAAGATTATTGATTAATATTAGTTTTGTATTTATAGGGAAAATTTTCTAATTTCAAAATGATAACAAGCTTGGTAAAGAACGAAATTGGAAAACCACTTTACTTTACTGCACAGACACAGAAATAATTTCTTTTTATATCCGCATTAGAATAAATAAGTATTTTAAGTTCACTAGTTCTCGTAATTGTTTCCCTAACCATAATACTTCTTAATTTCAGCTGATGATAGGCATCATCACCTTTATCACGAGTTTCCTCGTCATCGGCCTCATCAAGATCCTTGGCAAACGCAAGCTGGCCATCTCCGCCATGTTTGGCTCAGCCTTATGCTGTATGGCCCTCAGCATCTACGCAAAGAACAATCTAGACCCTTCTGTGTTCTCCTACGATACTTCTACTTTCCCTACGGAGGTCAGCTATGTACCATTGGTGTTCTTCTACGGTCTGACTGTCTTCACTGGGTTTGGTATACCTTGGGTGCTATTGGGAGAGGTGTTTCCATTCAGGTGAGTTCTGATTACGAATGTCTATACCTACTGTTAACGCACGCAATAAAGAATTTGAAATAAATAATATGTACTACGAGTAGTATTGTGTATCATGACAAATCTAAAAAATATTTTTTACTTCGATTATAGCAAAACTCCAACACTACTTTTCTTTCAAATAGTATGGTATCTTACGTAGTAAAATAAGGTGATCTAATTTTCTTCAAAAGCCATTTCATTGATCGTAAAATAATTTATGGTCTGTTAAAATTTGTTTACTAGGTATTAAGATTTCTTTTAAATCAGTCTTGCTTGCGCATAATGTCAATAAATCTTTTACGTAGTTACCATAATATTTGTACCTACCTGTTTTTTTACTAACTATGGTAATATGCTATGCGGAAATGTATCAATGTATTTTTCTTCTATTTCAGGAGTCGAGCAGCATCCCAAGGGATTGCCGCAGCAGGCAACTACCTCATCACGTTCGTTGGCTCCAAAACGTTTATCAACTTCGAGACCAGCATTCAACTATGGGGAGCCTTCGCCATCTACGCTGGCTTTGCATACATGGGCACCATTTACCTCTACTTCTTCCTCCCCGAAACCGAAGGCGTCACTCTCCAAGAAATTGAATCTTATTACAGTGGAAAACTAAGGATATTCGCCGACGATCCCATCATCAACCTCTTCAAGAGAAAGCTCAAAAGATAATGAAACTGCATATTTATAAATTACTGTATTATATTTAATATTTAAGACTAGTTTTAAGTTACAATAATGTTACCAATCATTTCCATTCTTCATTCCCTGTTCTGTATTTTATAACAAAGAAATGCGATAAGTGTTGTTTAGTAAGTATTGTATACTATATGACTCGTACAAATAAATCAATCTCAGTATTAAACACTCTTACACTATCCCCAATCTTAAAAACAGTTATACATCAGATCTGACGATAAATATAGTCTCAGACTAATCAATAGTAAAAATAAGCTTCGGTCTTTCACACTTTCTAATATCGCCGAAATCATCGGCTGAGTTATCTAAAACTATTGGCAAGGATTCACCTTCAACTTACGATACTGGATCTTCGATCTTAGCCATGAAGAGTGGCAATGAGGTTTGTCTGTCCCATAGAACAGCTAAGAATGGTCTGTTGGCCTTAAAAATGACTGATGGGTCGTCGTATGATAGAGCCACTACACCGAAAGAAGTGGCTGCTGCAGCAGTGCCTCCTTGCTCGTCGATGGACAGCAGAGCTGAATGTAGCGCGGAGGAGACTTGAGGAGCGAACTCGCGGTAGTTACCAAGACCAGTCAGCTCTGAGCTAGGACTGAAGATGTTGATGATGCCGAGCTGAAAGTTAAGGAATTATTAGATAGGTACTTTAAAAGTATAAAAAGTTTTTAATTTATATCTTGACCATCCATCTAGTGATAATAACATAACGATTCTACTAGGACTTAATTCATCAAGAGTGCAAAAATCAATCATAGTTGTAACACAATGAAATTTTATTTGTTATCTCTCTTTTAAAACAAATCCACAATTATTTAAAATGTTGCAGTTGCACAACTGAGAAATTTGCCTCAATGTAAAAATTTACTGTTCAGCAATATGCTTTCTTTTACTGTACAACGTCGTTCAACTTACCTGTTGGAAAACCGAAATGAGGTTTGTATCAGACTTGACTGTGAACTTTGGAATCTCCAGCGCAACTTCCTTCGGCGTGTAGTTTTGATACGACAACAGTTTCTCAGGCGTCAGCGCTGCAGCCGCTGACATTACATTGGTCGTCTCCGATGGCAAGATGATCATTAAGGTATAGTGCTCTCCCTGGAATTTTAAATTAAAAGAACATTAGGAGATAATAAATTATTATGGTTCATCACCTACTGATCTTTCAAGATTGTACATTTAAGGGTATGGACTGCTGATATTTATTTAAATGTAAAACTGTAACAATCTCCTAAGTTTGGCAAAGGGTTGGGGCTACCTTAGGACATAGATAGATAGAACACAAGATCCCAATGGGTCGAAGTGCACTGTGCTCATGCGCGGCCCCTAAACAAGATAGGCACAGAACAAGCTGTATAGAGACCATCAATTAGTTGTTTAAAGAGACGCAAGTGCTGAATGTTTTAATGCAACATACCTCAAACGGTAGACTGAGAATTTGCGAGCCAATGCTAGAATCAAAGTCAGTTCTGAAGTATCGGCGCATGCGCATAAAATTGGCAGTCTTCTTTGCCCCGTTGTACATGAAAAAGTCTCTGGGCATCGTCGAGTCCGGCCTGAACTTCACCGCCCACAAGCCCTTGAAGTAGACTGCGTTCACCAAAGCCATCTGCATGTTGGTCCCGATGGATTCTAAAATTCATTAAACATGGGTAACAAAGGTGACTGAGTTTCTTCTGCCAGTTCTCAAGCACCAGCCGATATAATTATGTGGTGATGTCCTTTCACGCTATAGGTATTTGGAACGTGTATAAATGCCCTGGAAAGGGCTTATAAATATTACAAATAAGCGGGGTTTAAATAAATCTATGATGGTATTATGGTAAGTTTTAAAAAAAAGTCTTAATTAATTAAAAGTTGTTCTTGGTGCACGGACACGTGGTGTCTACAATTTGAATGTGTTTTTTCAATGTCTTTTTTGCTTGATTCATTGTGACTGCTGAATGATTGAGTTTATTAGTTCAGGAAGCGGGTTTTTTATTTTAAATTCAATTAATTTAGATTATGCTACAAATAATAATCTGCTAGAATATTATTAACAAGTTTTACATCAGGATTCATATCAACAGAAACTAGAATAACTCGTTCAATAATGCAAATAGTTTACCTGGTGTGACGAGCTGTGTGATTTTGTCGTTCGTTTTTGAAGCTATCCAATTGTTGATCTTCTGCGCCGCTTGCGCAGGCCTCGAGAACTTTATCTGAGTCACATCGCTCTTGAAGTCTTTGATGGCGATCTGTTTGAACGAGGGATTTACGCTGAAACCGTTGTCTAAGAACACGCCGTTTCCAACCTTGAAGATGTTCGTTGAGGTGCGTTTCTGAAAATTAAAACCACACTGGATAGTCTCAAGAAGATTGTCGTATATCCTTTGGCTGAGCTCAAAATGTCATTGACAGTAGAAATGATCCTCTTTCCAGAACCAGTAACGGAGAGTCACTTTAACACGTATTGAAGTGTAACATAACTTTTGAGCTTTTGGCTCCGTGCCAGCGTAAATGGTTATAGGTACATTTTGCATAGAAAAATAGACCAGTATGAGGCAATGGCTGCCAAAAAGTGTGAAATACATCCCTTGTACACTTTGTGTCAAAGGTTTCATTGCTGAATTTATTGCCTTGGGTGATAACCCTTGATCAATCTCATTTAAAACGTCTCTAAATTACCTCCAGGTTGTCAGCCAGCCTCCTGAATCCGTCAGCAGCGTCGTTCGGTGACATCTGCAAAGCATGGGAGATTTGCCTTTGGGTGACGCCCAATGACCCTTGCTGCAGGAGAGCCAATAACATTCCAATGGAGAAAGGAGAGATTACTATGTTGCCTTCCTGGTAGAAAACTTTCTGAAACATCAAATTGTACAAGATAAAATGACGATGCTAGTGATGCTACGACATACTGGCTGGCTTAAAATACAGCTACAGTACAGCCCGCTTGAAATGCGACCTTATTTCAATTTTTAATAGTAACCCGCCCTGCCTTTACACGGTTAAAACTTTACTAAGCTCTTAAAATGAGCCGATCCCTTACGACTTTATCACAAAATGAAATGATGTAGTTGAAAAGAATTGAGCCAATTCTTCATAGCTTCATCACAACATTACATTAACTACTCGATCATCATACCTGGGGTTTGACAAGGTGGTTTCTATTTTAATGGCAATTAAGAGTGACACTTACCTTAATCATGTAAGTCAATTAATTATATTATTATTTCTTTCGTGTTTTTTTATTTTACTTAATTAATAATTAAAAATATGAATTAATTAAATAAACAAGTTTACCTTCATAATATCAATTCCGAATTTTGAAACAGCAAGAGACACATAATCCACTGGCGCAGGTGGAACATTTTGAACAACATTCTCAGTTTTGTTATCTGAATCTCCACCAAATCTCTCTTCCACTTTTGGTAGTGATTGTTGAAATTGTGCTTGCTGTTGGTTCTGTGTTTGTTGTGCTTGTGTTTGTGTCTGCTGCAGCAGTGCTTGCTGTTGTTGCGGTAAAAACAGCTGGTTATCAGGACTATAAACTGGAGGTGTCAAATCCCCACTAGGTCTTTGAAGGGCGTTGACATTCACAGGGGCTGGCCCGACTCGAGTATCTGGTATCATATTTACTGGAGTCAGCACTTTGTATGCTCCTTGCACATAATTGTCATTTCTAGAATCGACCACATCCTGTTGCCGACGGCTTGCAATTGGCAACACATTCATGGAATAACTTTGTGCATCATTATTGAAGAATATAAGATCAGGATTAAAAGGTCCCAGTGGGATGTTTGTGAACTGTGCTTCCACTGCCAAGCCTAAACTGGATACTAATATTATTGCTATAAAGAAATAAAAATCCAAATTAGTTCTTCTCGATAAAATCTACAAGAATTTGTTTAATTGCTATGGTAAAGATTTCTTAAGCGATTCTCAAGATTGTAGTGGGAGTGATGGAATATTTGGAATTTATCCTTAATGAATATTGTTGATTTATAAGCAGACAATTTATTTCATATGCGTCATCAAACTGTTGAGGTCATTAAAACAAACATTTAGAAACTGGACTAGTTAAGTCAACATGTCAACTGGCTAGAATAACAGGATTTTAATTTATAAACTCAGTAAAAAAGTGTTGTCTAAAAGATCTAAAATACTTACCGATTAAGGCCATTGTCTTATCCTAAACACTATGAGGATCACAACTAAATCAGTCTTCTTGATGAACTTAAAATAACACTTTATGTTCGGTTGAGTTATTTTATTCAATCATTTTTGCATTTAAGTCATGGACGTGTGCTTGCCTCACTTCAACGCGATTCACTCTGGCGAACACTCCGTAAACAAGATAATTTTGTATAGTTAGTTATTGAAGCAACTTCGCTCAAACAACATTCATCTTTAAAACAAAGAGGTAAACCTTATATTCCGACGCTTGTTATTGAAGTATTATATGCTACAGCAGAACTATAAGCAATACCTACGTTTTTGGTTTTCCCGTCTCAGCCGGTTTTAGTTTCCTTGATGCGACTTTTTTTAAATCCCAAGTTTGTTGTTTGGTTTTAAATGCTAATGTCCAAAATCATTTTAGATGATTACATTATCAATTTCATCATCTAAGTCTGCATCGATGGACTATGGTTTTCTCGGAAATAAATAATGCCGAGTAACAATGACACCGACACTTGACTTCTGTTAATTAATTACGTAGTAAGTATCTATTGCATTCCTCAATTATTTCCAGTAATAGAGATAGAGTACTAGTAATAAATCATGACCTCCCATTAACCAGTTACATAGTAGCTCATTTCAATTTAAATCTGTAACAATTAATTCAGTAAACTTATGAAGTGAGGGCGCGAATTTCTAAATTAAATATTATGTTGACTGATGACAAGAAGAAGGGCATAAATTAATCTGTAATAGTCACAACTGATGTATTACGTTTTAAATAAGACTAATTTATCATTTTAAGTAGGAAACTTTAAAAATAGCTCGAGGATCTCCAATATTTTAGCCACAAAGGGTCAAATTTTCCTCAACAAAATACCTACAATACTGCGGTCACGTATGCTTCCCACTAATTTCAATGGTTTTGTATAAACAAAAGAATACAACCTGATGTGATGAACTGTAAAAGCCCATGACATAAGAAGTATATTCCTATAAATAATTGTGCGCAGTTGTACAGCGTGGAAGATTACAGGGCATCCCAGTTTCCCTTAGACGTTTTCTCGATATTAGCGGGTGCGGGAGTGGAGGCCGCGTACCGGAAAACGCAGCGTGGGACGTCCACCCACAAGGTGGATCGACGACATCATAAAGGTAGCAGGAAAGCGCTGGACGCAGGCCGCTACCAACCGGGTAACATGGAAAGCATTGGGGGAGGCCTATTTTCAGCAGTGGACGTCCTATGGCTGAGATGATGATGATGATGAGTGGGTGCGAGTCTAGCTGCTGGGATGACAGAGTGCAAGCAAAAAGCATTAATAGTTGCCTAAGGGTAGGTGGTTACTATGGTATACGTGGCACTTGGGGCACCTTTCAAGCGTCCTAAACTTCGAAATCCTATGTTCTTCTGATTAACTTTGTTGTGGGTCCAATGACAGTTTAACATTTTAATTTCCCCTGGGACAAACTTGACCTTCACTGGTTGGGTTTTTATTGGCGGTCAAGCTGTAGATCCTGGCTACACAGGATTTGCAGCGGTGGGAACGAAAAGTCTGAATAGTGACAGGTTAATCTTCAAAAGTCATAAGTGTAGATGGAATACTACTAAAGTATCTTTAGTATTATTATCCTTTGTGCGATGTATTATCCACTTTGATCGGAAAATTATGACTTTAAAATATTTTTTATTTACAAAATGAATAAAACTATACGTTTTTAGCTGTCGTCTTCCTCATTCAAAATGGAAGCAGGTCTTATATCAGGGGACAAATTTTCAAAGTATTCGCGTGTAACATCTCGTATTAAGATGATTTGGAGACCTATTTTTAAATTAACAGTCAATGGCCAGTTGATATTTAAGTATACTGCAAAACTCCTACTGAATTTGTGACCCTAGGATCTTGTGACTTATCATGTTCACCAACTTAATTGGATTGAAACTTACTAGGCTTTCAGAACTTATGCAATGTTTTCAGAAAACTCACGTCTTAGTGTCAACAACCACTTCTAACTATTCTTCTTCTTCTTCTTGTCGTGTCGACAACAAACCTACTGACACAGCGTCGGCCGCTCCGCCATATGAATGGCGTTGTCAGTAGCCTTCATTAAGGCTGAGTTGCACCACCTAACTTTGACCGTAACTATAACGTTAACCGATGTTTTTTGTATAGAGTTTAACAGATTTTTGACGTTTGTCACAGTCAAAGTGAGTAGGTGCAACCCAGCCTAAATCTTCCTCCGTGCATTGTTTGTAACTTAACTTCTACCTATTGTCATAATAATTTATCTATTGCTGCACAAACATGGTTTTGATAGCTTTTGAAGCAAATTGTTTCTTTGAAAGTAGCAAATTCGTGTGCGATTTGAAATTCTATCAATTCAGAAATAACATCTCCGAGTCCAGAACCCGTTTGTGAAAACCCAGGACGTAAGCAGCTTAATAAGAACATGACAACTGGTTGTTTTATTAATCATGGTGCTTTAAATAAATGCAATAAATTACACAGGCCTGCAAAAAAAAATTTTTTTTTTGGTGCAGCTCTTTTTGTATATACGATCGATAATATGGGTAATCTACAATATATTGACATACTTCATTTCAACTCATCAGCTCTGGTTTGTCGACTACCCTCATTTTAGTTATTTTCCCGTCTTGTTCGCAAATAGTCATTATTACAATAACATCGATAAACTTTATGTTACTATTTAGCTATGGATAGTATGTCCAGATGTTGTGTTAACGATCCTGATTAGTTTTGATAAGTTTGTGGTGAATACTACTGAAATATCAGCGTGAAACCATTAAAAACACGGCGATTTTTTTGTTTTTCGCTTACTTCGGTATTAAAATTCAATACAAAGGTAAGGTGTAGGTGCCTCAAATTGTATGTATAATGTGCGTTGAACATCTGCGAAGATACTAGAAAGGCACACGTAAGTTTTTGAAGCTTGGAGTGCCTATGATATGGCGAAAATGGCCAATATTTCCAGTTAATTTAACAGAAATTTCCAAGTTTAAGTACTGAAAAACTAAAAGCAGGTATATTTGATGGACTTCAAATAACTGTATTAATAAAAGACTTCACTAAATTTAAGATTTCTATGAACGATGTGGAATGGTTTGCGTGGAAATCTTTTGTAGCAGTTGTACAAAATTTCCTGGGAAAGCATAAAGCTGACAACTATGTAGAATTAGTATAGGATGTGCTGGTTTAATTCAAAGATTTAGGCTGCTATATAGGTATAAAATTACACTATTTTAACAGTAAACTAGATCAATTCCAACAAAATTTAGCAGAACTAAGCGAAGAACAAGGAAAACGTTTTCACCAAGACATAAAAACAATGGGGAATAGTTACCAAGGAAGATGGGACGCTCATATGATGACCGACTACTGTTGGAGAATCATGCGAGATTGCTCAAGTAAGTTTCATTCGAAAAAATCACCCAAAAGACAATTTCTTGATGTTTATTGCTAATAAAAATATGTATTTATTGGGAAAATTGTTCTTTAGTTATCTCGGGAACTAGAGCTGATGGAGAAAAACTGATTACATTTTTGATATCGCCATGCAAGACATACTTAAAATCAGGTCTTAAATCCCCGGCACCAAAATGGCTGTAGGCCAGTGTTATTTATAGCCTACATTTATAAACTCGTTGAATTAAGACACAAATGACATGGACTTATCGTCTAAAATAGATAAAATGCCTCGTTAAAACGATATAATGACGCGCATCCTAGGTTAGCAGGTGCCACGCCACGGCTGGTGCCGATGGATGAAATAAAAAAATACTTACCAATTATAGTTACTTGTTTATTAGTGAATCGCTACATAACATCAACAGCTTCAAGTCACAGTTACAAAATGTCATAAATATGAGTCAATAAATTAAACTAGGTACATTCATCCATTCTTCTAAAATGTCAAATGTTACTAAAAATAAATTAGGTCAAAGTGCTAAATAAATAATGACTCAGATTTGTGAATATTATGACTTTGAGTGTAAAGTCTACTTGCTCAATTATAGGATTAGCTTAATCTAGCTCAAAATGAATACGAGTGAGTGAACCTGAACAGTCACATTCTTGGAATGCTCGCCCTACAAGCTCATACTATTTTAAAATATTACTGGGCCTGTTATGTATTCTGAATCCAAATCTAGATTTCAAGTTAGTTAATTCCTAACATAAAATCGAGATTTTTTGAAAGATGAGTCTTGTTTCAGAATAAGAACTAAATAATTCCATAATAACACTTTACATCTATGATTTCTATGAAGACGCTAATCCTAGACAGTGCAAGTAGTTCTAAGCTGTAATTCCAACAGTATATGGTTTAAAATCTTTAAAATACGTTCTGTCTACAGGTATTCCTAGCATCCATGACTGACAGTTCGTTGGCCGCGTTGATAACCCTTTGCGCGATGTAGTGCGGCGGGGTTCCGTAGTGTTCAAATGGGGTTCGGTACTCGTAAGTAGGTGACGCCACTGTGCGTACCGCTCGGCGTAGTATGGAGCAGGTGTATGAGATGTTGGTTGCTTTCTTCTCGGCTGCTCTGAAACTAATAATAATAGGTTATTTTTTGAGTATTCTACTCATTTGTCACCAACCCCTACTCTTCCCGCGGCGGTGTCGTAAGAGGCGACTTAGGGACTACACATCAAACAGAGAATGGGCAGCAGCGCTCTCTGAAAAACATCAATATTTTAAACTGCGATCTCCAACCCGCCTGCCAAGCGTGGAGATTATGGCAAAACCCTCCACTATAGTGGAGGAGGCTCATAGTCCAGCAGTGGACTGTAAACGGCTGTTGATAATGATGTTGATGATTTTTTGAGTCTGGTAATTGAACGCCTTTTGGTTTAGAACAACGTTTCAAGTTAATTATTGTTTTCAGATTTTCCTCGATGCCAAAAATATCGACTGGGTTGGACCACAGATTTGGATATTTAGTAAAAATACCTACCATAAGGCAGGATTCTACCAAACTTTTATCCGAGAATAACTCCTGGTATCAGGTATAACTGGCACATTGACAGTTCCAGTATGGGAAATTATGTCAAAACTGACGATTTATTCTGAGATTAATATTTACTCTTATTTGGTCGAATCCACCCTTATTCGTACGTTATGTACTATTCCCAGAAAAATACGTCTTGTCACTACATACAAGTACAACACATTGTGACAGGTGTTAGTTGTTCCATACGTGATCTGCATCGGTCATTCCGTTGAGCAAGTATATCTATTTCATAATGTCACTTAAATGTGGCTCCTCTATTGAGAGGGCCCTTAAAAGTAAACCTTAAAATTACTCAGCAACTCCGTTTTGTAACATTTTTTTTATGCATAACAAGGCAGTTATTTGACCACAATCGCACCTGATAAATGGGATGCTGCAGTCTAGGATGGTACATATTATCTGCCCTGTAAGTGCCTATTCACTCTCGCCTTGAAAAGCTACATACTAGCTAGTTTAAAGTCTACTGATAATTAAGTATGAAGTCCAGTGCTAGTGCCTATTAGATAAAAGTAATAAAATCTATAGATTTCGATTCAACAGATTCGAAATGTCGCTAATTTGGAACTAACTAGCTTAAGTAGTTCGAACGATATCGATTGTTAGATTTTGTCCAGGTGTGCTAAGGGCTATATTTCACCGGGACACCTTGGCTGCGCAACCAGTCGCCGCTGCCAACAAAATGTATAGAGCTTTGCGCAACCAAACGGACACCAGGTGAGTAACGCTCTATAGAGCTGTATACATTTTGTTGGTAGCCGGCGACTGGTTGCGCCGCCATGGTGTCCCGGTGAAATATAGCCCTTAAAATCCAGTTAAAGGGTTATTGGTCTTTCTGAGCCCTTTATCGTACTGATGTCGTTAAACCAGTCATACACTACGGTCTGCTAATGTCACTCACACAACCGGTCAGCTGTGTAAAAAACGTGAATAAAAGTTATGCAGCAGTGACAACAAAACTAATCAACTCGCATTAGGCGGTAAGCATGTTGTGGATATCCGTAACCGAAACTTTCGGATACTTATCCGAAATAAAAAAATAGCCGTAACCGAAACCGGTATAATATTATTCCAATATCCGTAACCGTATCCATAACCGAAACTACATATCCATAACATCCCTAGTAAAGTTACCATTAGTTTGTATAAACTAGTTTTACAGAGATAGTCTGAAATATTACAAATAGCGGAAAATCAAATTTTTCAATTTCCATATCCTCCATGAAGGGGATTTCGTAGCACACAGAAAAAAATATCCGTTTGCAATTCACGCGATTTTCGCATACAAAGGTACACTTTTCCTGAATAGACCACGTGTTTCCTGAATAGACCACATGGAGTCTCTATTTAGTTCCACTAAAAAAAAGTCAAGTAAGTACCTACCATGATTTGGTAAGTCAAAATCTTAAAATGATCTGCATTTTAATAGTACTTTATGTTGTTATGTTTACAGGGTGTCCCAGAATGGGTGAATCAAACTGATAGGGGAGGTAGCTCTACTAATGTACTATCCCTTAAAAATGTGAAAAAAAAAATAAAGCGCATAAGGACACAAAAAATTGTTTTTTAAAAAGTGAAAATAAATCAGCTTTGCCTAAGTATCTGGCTATAATTGCTGCGTTTGGAGTTTATTTGTACTTTTTTCTTACTAATTGTACATGATCGCTTTGTTTATCTGTAAACAAACTTTTGAAAATAATGACTTAACACTAGAAAGGCCGCCGTCCCATTTTTGTCCCACTAGCGAGTTTGATCGTCTCTAACTTTTTTATTTTTCAACGAAAGTCCATGAAACTTTTTGACTTTTCCTGATTTATTGAATTTTATCATTTTTTAATGTTTTTGATAATATAACATTATTAGAAAAAAATTTAAAATCGGTTTTACCTAGAAGCGCCACTGGGTCATTTTTGTCCCACCTTGGTATTTGCAACAATAATTCGATGAAGAGTCCTTGTTTCGAGGAAATACGAGAATGGGGAGGTGAGGAACGTTTAGGTGACTCATCACAATGCAGAAATGTAATTAAATTGTACTAGTTTTTTCCTGTGACTTCATTTAGTGAGAAATTAAGTATAACATAGAAAGACCTAATTTCTTGACACTTATCGTTGTTATTTGACCAAATGACTGAATATTATTGTTATTTATAGACTATATTATGTTATTCTGAATTATTAACAATAAAACTGCAAAGTTTTATTAAGATCGGCTTAGTATTCTTTGCGTAAAAGACTGAAAAAACAACAATCGATCTAACCATGAATCCACACTCACTTAGTTCAAGTTCAAGGCTTAAATCCACCCATTCATTCTTCCTATCCGTTCATCGGTTCATCCATTCATCAATTCATCAATCTTTATTAACTTTTACATTTATAATATTAGTAGGAAGGTGACTTCAAGACATGGGCCAGTTCATACATTGTATGATTTGATACATTTTTAAAATGTGTGACTTTTTTTTTTTTTTTAATTAAATGTACATACTTTTCATTGTAACTGGTAAAAAACTTCACTGTATGTGTACGGATAACAGAAAAATAACCATACCTATAGAAGTTCCTAAACACATCGTAGACCAAAGAGACAAAAAAACCATACAAAAAATCTTTGTGCAAAATGTGCACTATTATTTGTAAGATATTTATTATTCATTCAAAAAGAATAATGAATAGTTAAATTAGTAATTTCATAATTTTAATACAGTATAACACCATGTAATATGTGACTATTTTTATATGAAACCAAAAATATCTGTCTTTTAATAATTCAAAATTAAAATTGAATACATTTATATTTTTAAAGAAATAAGTACATATTGATTTAACTGTATAGATAAACTATTTTTTAAGGATACTACAAATAGTTTTAACCATAATGTTCATGCCTGAAACTAAAAAATGTTACAAAATATATGTTGGGACAAAATTGACCCAGCGGCGCTTTTAGGGGGGTCGTAATCTTCGGCACTTCTAGTGTTAATTACGAGTTTAGAGCACATTATTATAAAAAAAAATCCGAACTCAAATTTTTTTTCATATTTTTTAGGGATAGTACATTAGTAGAGCTACCTCCCCTAGCAGTTTGATTCACCCATTTTGGGACACCTGTATAATATGTGTACCTTGTTACTGTAACCACACGTAGCTATGATATGCTAAGGATAAGGCCAGTAAGATAATATACGTATTCAATAACAATCATGTAATGTAGGTACCTACCTACAATTTATTATTAAAAATAACATAATATTAGAGCAAAATGTAGTAGGCTTAGTACATTCTAAATATATAAAAGGAGAAACTGACTGACTGACTGACATATCAACGCACAGCCTAAACGGCTAAACGTAGGCACTTGAAAGGAAGGGACGTAGCTTAGGTATTATATGGTTTTACGATGAAGTTGTCCCTATATCACTTTTACAGCATATCAAGCATACAGTGGTATCTTGAGTAACTTACCTATTTGTGTACAATCAGCGTCAAATAGTTCGTGACCGAAAGTAGCCAACAAGTTCGCAACACGTCTTTGTTACAATTGGAATGGAAGGAATGGATTGTCTGTTAACTTTTTCCGAGTTAAAGAAAAACACTCATGGTGGTAGATACAAAGAGTAAATACACAGCAAGTAAATACTTATTGTGTATTTACTCTGGTACCACCATGAGTGTTTTTTGCCAAAACGTACTTCGATAAATCGCCCTTCGCCACTACGTACGGGACCCGTCTCAAACTATTTGACGCTGACTGTATTAATGGTGCTTTTTGCACCAAAATATACAGTTACATGATTATAAAGTTGATTGACCGATAAGAAAAGTCATCCGGTTGATTACCTACTTACTGAGTAGTGCTCATTGCATACCGAAAAAAAAATCATTACGCTTAAAAATCTTGGGGTATTGTCATGTGTTTGACCTTACTAAACTCGTTTAACATCTAAGTACTCGGGTTTACTCAACCAGTTCCACAGACCGGTTTAATGTAAACAGCTTTAATTTTTAAATTCAATGTATTTTTAAAATTTATTACACCACAGATTTGACAGTTTTAATTTCACCGAATATCAGCATCGGTTTAATTATGACACAGTACAGAAGAAGGTAAGTAACGTAAAAATATTTTAAATATTTTCCTGAACTGCTTTTACTATGATTGAAAATAATACGACTTGTATTAATTTGTGAAGGACCGCAAACAATCTTCAATACAAATACTACTGCGTATGTTTTTACGGTGTCATTGCAGTATAGTAACCCCACACTCACAACACAACGGCTTAATTTAAAAATGCATGTGTGGAAAAACCCATACCTGGAATAAAAATAACTATAACTCGATCAAACATGTTCTAAACTTTTATTTTAGTAGAAGAGCCTTAAGAGAAGGATTACGATTTTATGTGTATTTTATGCAATGAATATTTAAAATTACTTGGATTTGCCCTGGGTATTTTCAAATGTTACTTTTAGAATATTTTTTATCATCCGATGTGCTTGCCGGATTGAAGTTATCAATGTTATCATACATTGCTGGCAAGCTAAAATTGAGATAGATGCTTTATTAAAATCAACAAATAGTAGGGAGGCCTATGTTCAGCAATAGGTCATACTGCTGAAATGATGATGAGTCTTATATGATTTCTATTTTTCAAAAGACGGCGCGACGGTGTACAAACTGAGCAGACATATATAGTTCCAAAATACTGAACTGTCCTATGCATGACATTGACAGTGGGGGCGCCACCGTTAATACCGGATCGCTGGTTCCGATTTTTGCCATGTTGGAAACCATATAGTTGAACGATGGTAGCGCCCCCCTGTCATTGAGTTTGGTGGGACAGTTCAGCGTGGGTCATCTATACTTGTACAATACTAAAATTAATGACGTACGTTAAAACTAGTTTTATCTCGATTAGTTGACAACTATGTAGGAAAATACCGGAGTCATTAGATGAACTGAGCCTAGCCTTGCATCCATTTTAAATTATCTACAATAGGTGGCTTTTATGCATCATAGATGTGATGATGTTAGGAAAACTTTACGAATACCTACGCTATGTCTGCAATAATGGTCTGATTTTACAAAAGATGAAATAAATCACACGATGCACACAAATTGTTTAGTCTGCGGATTGAACCTGCTACCTCTTTCATCATAGCCCGTTACACGAACTATCAGATGAGACCAGATATAAAATATCTCACGTTATTACTTTTAGTTTAGTAGTTAAAGATTTGAGCTATTCCTGAACATAACTCAAAAGCAAGATGATTCACGTTGCGAACTTTGCATTAAGTTTAGCTTAAGAAAACGTAGAAACAATTTTGGCGAATCTTTAGAATCTTTCACAAATTAGATAGACCTTAGTAGAGATTTCTTTAGTCAGTAACTGTAGACTCAATGGTAACACTAAGTGCAGCGGAATTTTGTCCACTATCAGACAAGAATGCCTCGGAACTTCCCAGATTTTCCACTCCACTACACTCTCTCTATCAGATAAGGAACCAGCATGTGACAAGAAACAACCCAGCTATTTACAGAAATAGTTCAAAAGTAACTTACACTGGACACATCTGCAGATTGATCATCAGATCCCTCTTCCTCAGGAGAAGAAGGGCGTTCCTGACAGCCGCAGCTCCGATGACAGAAGGGCATTCAGAGCAAAGACTCTTGTCCACCATGGTCCCTGACATGCAGATGAAGGTGGCAGCTACCTCGATCTCACCGGGGTGGCCGTTGTCACACCACCAGGCGAGGTAGGTGATGAATTCTTGCGGTACCACTGGTTGGGCAGGGAATTTCTGTAACAACATGTAAAATGAGAATAAGACTAATAAAAGTTCTTATTATGAATGAGTATTGCATAGGCTTCTTCAAGTAGGATTTTGCTACAAAAATATGTTATCCTACATAAAAACGTCAGAATCTTAACTATTATGAGATATGCTTAATTATAAAAATCATTAGCTGATCGGCTATTTAATGTGGAAAGGGTGATTAACTAACCGTACTTCTGTTTTGATACAGTCAAAATCCGCATATAACTACTCCAATTTGAATCAAATCAAATAAATCCCAGTGCGGCATCAAAACAGGTTCCTATTCGGTGCCAAATTATTTGTCAACCAAATGATAAGTGGTCATACTTAACTCGCACGCGTATTTAAACTGCATGTGCGTGCCTTAATGTGTTCTACTAAACTTCGAAAGTAAGAGGTCGTTCACCCAAGCGACGTAAACAGTAAACAACATGCATGGGCAAAGGTTTCACTATTCACAGTTAGCTCATGGCATTATGGTAAATACTCTTAACTGACACAAATGAACTTATACAACAAAACATAAATACATTATTATTAATACCGAGATTTCAGCTCTTAAAAATTAAGACCACATTTAATTAGGTTTTATTATGTATAAAATGTTACATACTAGTAGTACTTCAAGTAATAATTGATCTAGGGCTATGTATACGCGTCTGCGCAACCTAGGACTTGTTGATCTTACGCACTTTTTTGAATTAGTTCTGTTCCCATCACTAGCCCAGCTGTTCCAGCTACCCAATTCTGTTATGTCGTCTTAATCTATCGTAAATAATTACCACTTGATGAGAGCTGGAACTTTGACCTTACTGTACAACAAAAATTAAGCTCTTTTAGTCAGGATCTGAAGAAGAAATACAGCAAAAATGAAGAGATCAAAACCAGTTTAAAATTGCTTACCAGCCTCTCCAGAATAGCTTTCTCAGCTGCTAGAAGCCTCTCAGGAGAGAACGCTTGGTTGGAGTATCTGACAAGTCTGCTAGCTGACAATCCTGAGCCGTGCAGTTTGTGTGCTATCCAGTAGCACGCAGCTGCGATCAGCTGGAGCTTGTCCACTTGGACTTGGCCAGCGTGCAAGACTGAATCCAAGTACCAAGCTGCGGTTTGGATGATTGCTGGGTTTCCGTCGGGACCCTGCAGGAAAAAGGATGAAAGTTAAAATGTACAAAAATAACTGGGAGGATGTTACGTTAATATTTTCTTCAGTGCGGGCCCACATGAGAAAACTGTAACAGAATTTGAATCTATATATATTTTAGCGTCAAGCATTATAAATAATGTAACTGTTTGTTTTAGATACTGGTAAACCAAGATAGCACTAAGTGTTATTAATAACAATACTACAGCGGATATGTATATTACTCGTACGTCGGAAAAACCGGTAGACCCTGGTCACACCTTTTTCACACAACAGAAAAACTATTGATTGAGAAGTCGGTTGATGACTTGCAAATGAGTCAACTACTCCAGATTTTTAAAAAGAGGACACTCACGTTGACCTTCATCAGCCAGTTGATGACACAAGCCCGCATGACGCTGGATATCCTGGGTGGAGCACACTTCTTCTCCGCCTCCAGCAAGTACAAGAACAAGTCGTTGGCATAGTCCCGACATAATGAGGTCATGTACGACTTTTTCACTGTACGAGAAAAAATTACATAAAAATTGGTGTTGCACACATACCTATTCTAGTCCAGAAAAAGACTTCGTTTAAAGTTCGCAAGTGATAAACCTAAATACCTTATTAAAGAGATTCTTAGAAAAATATACCGTCAAATTAAACTGATCACCCATTTTTTTATCAATGTCATATTTACGGCAATTTTCAGTAACCTACTAAGATGTAGGGGTATTTACACACCCCCGTCGTAAGTAAGTCATCATAATATCTAACATTACATGAAGATTAAAATCATTAAAATCACACTGTAATTATCACACCAATATTATAAAAGCAATTTGTGAGTGTGTATGTTTGTTACTTCTTCACGTCTAAATGGCTTATAATTAAATTGATTGGAGGAGCTGACAACCTGGATTATTGGACACATAGGCTACGTTTTACCGCGGGTAATACCGCGGGGCACAGCTAGTAAAGAAATAAAAGGCTGGAAAAAATGCATGCAAATAAAGAACAAAATTCAAATGTTACCTTTTTGAGGCAAGTAAATCCAAACGGTGACATTCAATCATTTCATTTGTTTTCAATAACTTTTATTACCATTTTATATCCACGTATACGTTGACGATTCACTCATAAACTTAATTTACCCAATTATTCCATTTCTTAATATTATTTGATGGTTAAACCTTAATTTAAATATACTTATTTAAACTATCACCTATAAAATTGTGTTTTTCTTCATCTTTTCACACTCTATCTAATGACTGCCTATGTGCCTAATCGGATGCATTTTTACTTTTGACTCTTGGGCCCTTACTTCTCGTGTGTTCAGCGAAAGATCACGACAAATAGTGCCTTTGGTCGATGCGTCAGTTAAATTTAAAGGGCCTGTAGTATGTACCAGCCGTAGTTCCAAATAAATAATTGGTATTCTTACACAATATAATGGAATATACCGTTTGAATATACCGAACTGCCTTGGGAATAGTTGCCAAACTTTAGCTACTTATCGGTAATCATTCATTGCTTTTATAAAAATAACCATTAATTTTTAACTCACTGTTGTAATAAAATTTTGGAAGATTAGATCTTAGTTTATGAAGCATTAGGAACTTATTTGCTTTTACCATGATTTGGTTAAGTTAGAAGTATACATATAACTACTAGACAAAATTATGCAATTAATTGCTGTGAGACCAATGACCCCGCGTCCAAATTCTAGTGTAAGCATATGCAACTTAGGTGTGTCGTTTAGTTGAAAAATGTGAGTTTACAGTTTTTGAGTGTTTACGGAAACATTATACGATTATGCTTACTTAGAAGTTTTCTATTAGATTGATGATTTTGATTGTTTTATTTCATTAATAGAATATGAATAATGGTACTTACAGAAATCTGGTGAAGACAGCCGTTCCTGCAGCGGCTCGTGGAATTGTAGCCGACGTCTGACCTTCTCATCTACTTTCTTTTGTTCCTTACACACTGGAGACAGGCCCTGCAACTCCCTGCTATGTGGCCTCTTTAGACTTCTTTTTATATTTCTAACCCTATTAGGCTCCAAGGAGGGCGACTTCACTGCGGGCGTCACAGCAGCCCTGGCCTCACCCAGACAATTTCTGTCCTTATTCTCAATAAAATACTTAAACTCATCTGCCCTGCTAACGTCTTCATCATCACTAATCAAGATAACCTGATCATCATCAGCTCGGTCGTCTTTAAACACTTTATACTCCCAGTCCAGTTCTTCCACTCTTTGCCTTAATGTGACGTGTTTATGATCAAACATTGGGATTCTAGGTCTGTCAGTAACGAACCTCCGGCTTGGCCCGGGTAAAGCCAATGCTTGTGTATTCAACGTTTTCAATGGATATCTTTCGTTGATGTCCTTATTCATACGTTTGTTGCTCTCCACCAAATGTTTGGGCAAGGCTGGCAAAGGTTGGACAGGTAACGGGATTCTTGTTGTCCCCTTCAATCTGTTTATATTCTCTTTATCCGACTCCATTATACGAACGAATAAACTTATCAAGTCACAAAGAATTTTAATTGAAGTCACGACTCGTACGATCACGACCAGCGTGACCGTTGAATTGAATTGAATTTACTAAATTTAACTAAACTCTGAGGTCACCGTTCAAGTATATTTTCCATCTACCTACAGTTTCAATTGTAAATAAAATCAATGTTTTCGTTCGGAAATAAGGCAGCAAATAAAAGAAAACTTGACAAAAATAAATAATTTAATCTTACACATTATAAAATCACATCTAAAGTTTATAATAAATAAATTACTAATTAACCTAACTTAACCTAAGCTGTGTACTTTTTCATTATCAAATGCATCTGGTTTTTTAGAGTTAATTGTGTAAATAACAACAGTTTGATTTCACAGCGAAATAGTTTACAATAGTTGAACAGCTAAATCAAAGGGACTGGTGGGTTTTTGAACGTGTCGAAAAAAATGAGCATCGTAATGTATTCGAAAATGGAATTTGAAATGTAAACAAACGAGTTTTGTTGGCGTTTGGCGCGAGTTATGTGTTCAAATTTCGAAAGGTGTAGGTTGTTGGGGGTCAGTGACCTTTCCGGCGACAACGACAAGATTGTCCAAGCAGTCGACGATGTAGAAAAGGAATGGGTGTTCGACGTTGAAACGCCGCGCGGGCTTCGCCGGCCCTAGCGGCAGATTCTTGAGAGATTCTACTCCTTCACCAGCTGAAAATTAAAAATAGTTTTACTTGGATAAGTTATTCACCTGCTCTCTCTCTCTAATTATATCTATTGCATTGAGTAGTTTCATTTGTCTTGTAGAATTGCTGATCTCATGACTATCTATCACAATCCAATTAGTAAGAATAGAAGTCTTGTGTATTGCACCCAAATACGATTAGTTTAATTAATACATCATTCATACCAAGGAAATGGACCAGGAATATCCCAATAGTATAAAAATATAAACTCAGTAAAAGCCCCTGACTATGTCTTATAGCAAATGACGAGCACTGTGTATTTTGTCAGCAGCAAATGCATCGACGTTACAAAGCTTGAAAACAACATTTATAGTGCTCTGGCTTATTCAACTTCTAAGTAATTTTTCAGGCCAAACCCTCCATTGACCTCTGGAAAATTTAAGAGAGTCGTGTTCCTGCAGTGTAGACTAAAAATTAAATCCTAATAACAATGATGATAAATAATTAATCTTTCGGACTTGGAAATTCCCTTTCTATCTTGAAGTAATGAGACTTAAAGATTCCTTACCTAACAACTGCGAAGCAGATGAGTCGGCATTATCGACTCTGACTGCGACATGTTGTACCAGCTCCTGTAAGACAAATGAAGCAATGAATTACAGACTAGCTATCTAGCTTTTTAATATAGGCTGACATTTCATAAAATAACTGACTCACTAATATAATGCAGCGTGCATGCAAGGAAAAAATATTTTGTCTGATAATAATATTACCTGAACGAATAGTCCGTCCGCCGAAGACACCTTAGATAACTCGGCGTCGCGGCTGAAGATACTGCTAACACCAAACTGGAAAATACAACAGATTTTGCTAAATTAGGAGTACTTACTTACCTAAGTCATTTCAAAATAATAAATAGGGACAGGTTGACGAACATAATAGACTTAGATAGATCAGTGAAATCAAGTGATTGTCAGAAATTCAGACTTTTAGAGTTGAAATGAAACATACTTATTATGATAATAATAAAATTGAAAAACATTTTGAAGATTATACGTTACGAGTTAACTTTACACTAATGTTATGCATTTCAGATCATAGTTTCTTAAGCAGTGGTTAATAATCTGTTATTGTTTCACTGTATGTTTTCCAAACAAAATAAAATAAAATAATAGTAAATAGTAACAGTCAACAACTAGAAACCTTCAATGAATATTTCCATTTGTGATGGATTTTACATTTTTTGTACTCCAATATGATGCACTTACTTTAGCCAAAGCCGCAACAGGCTTAGTAGTGGTCTCCACGTAGAAGCTGGGCAGTGAGACCAGCAGCTCCTCTTCTTGCAGACTATCCTTGATGTCGGTTAGAGGTGTGGCCGGCAGGTCGGCAGTCAGCCGCGTCAGGCCATCTCTGGAGCGGGGCACCACCACGAGGAGGGCGTAGCGACCACCCTGGAATGAACAATAACGTCAATGAGTATATATCATAAATCTGTCAGGTATGTACCTACTGTTTAAATTGAAATCATCTTATTAGAAGTTTATAATTACCTAAAAGATTTGCGCTAATCTTAATACCTTGCCCCCTTACAAAAAGTTAAACTCGCTTGTCACTACTTTTAATCGACATTAATAGAAATATTATTTTAAACCAGTGTTTATTGCACATTTATCTTTTTTGTAAGAAGGCAAGAAAAACCAGAACTATTAAGTTAAGAAAGGTGATAATGATAATTTTATATCGTAATAAGCATTCACCATGTTTATTTTTGTTAAATTCTTGTATTAATTTCATACACAAGAATTGCATTGATTTCATTTACTCACCGTAAATGAAATCAATGCTAGTTAAGAAAGGTACATTTAAAAAGTTGCTATAGACAGTAATATTATGATGTTATTACCCTATCTAATTTACACTTATGTAGATTTACCCGATTTACCTGTGTTTTCTTTGTTTCCAGCTTTTGAGTGCCAGATACACTGCTCTACACAACATTAACTTACATCATAAGGCAGCTTAATGGCCTCGCTGTCCAGTCCAGGCAAGAAGCCAGTCTTGAAGACGCCTCTGGTCTTCATCATAGGGACCTGCTTCTTCTCGGTATTCGACTTGTAGAAGACTCCTGGCTCCACGATGTCGAAGGCCTGCTTCCAGGAACCGCGGAAGTACATCCCGTTGAAGATGATCATCAAGGAGTTTGATGGCGCTGTAATTAGGTAAGTAAATAGATTTGGTAACGTTGATTTGATTTATTATTATCATCATCATCATCTTTTCAGCCATAGGACGTGCACTGCTGAACATAGGCCTCCCCCAATGATATTTTGATTACATCTGATAAAGACTTGTTAAACATTAAACATTTTCAATGAGTACCTAATACAACCAGATGTTACATGCACCACAAAACATGCACTCAACGCCAGATAGACGACAAATACGTTTCTTAAAAAAAATTAATAATAAACAATCTTTTCACTCAAGGCTAGATAGCAGCATTATAGCACTGATCTTTCCTTTAGCATCCAATCTAATCCAGCAATAAATGTATATCACAATTCAAATTAAAATTGTTGTCTTAATTAATATGCTTAGCAAGATATAATAACTTACTTTTACTAGATTTCTTTCCAACGCTATTCACGGAAATACTGGATGTGATATCATTTTTGTCTTCCAAAACTTTCAGACTTCTGGCATGATTTCTGGCTTCAACAGCCACCATGGTCTCTTCTTCATCCCCTGATTCATCTTTTTTGGGGTAAGTCTTAACTAATTTAATTTTCTCTTTAATATTCTTGGCTGGTTTATAATCTACCTGTGATACATCTACTTTCTCTGGCTTATCTTCAACAGCAAACAAAATTAGTTTCTCATCTGATTCTTTAGGTGGCATGAGCTCAGGAATATCATCATTTTTGTTATCATCAGGCCTTCTTTCTGGTATATCGATAACAAACTCGCTGTTTTCGTCAGTCTCATCTGGCTTTGTGTAATGTTGATCAGGATTATATTTCTCTACAGACCTGACTTCAGTTAAGTAGTAATCTTCTAAAATCTTTTTGTACTCCTCATTAATAGTGTAGTTCTTGTAAATGTAGAAGAAGTTCTTCAATTCTGGGTGGTTGTATTTATAATCGTGAGTATTTTTTAATCTCTCCATGATGAAGCGGTAGGTTTTCCGAGTGAGATTAGGATCACTTGGTAAATGAAGAGCTGAGACTAGCTGTTCTCTGGTTTCGCCTGTAGCTCCTTCTGCTAATATAGCAAGTATAGCAGAGTAGCCCAAGGGTGAAAATGCAATATTCTTGTCATCATCGATGTATCCCTGAAAGCGAAAATTTAAATATTAGTTTGTAGTCATGTAGAAAGTTACTAAGGAAAGTTATAATTGGCGTCGAGCCAGATAGCAAATTTCACTAGAGTGGAAACTTTCTCTACATTTGCCACTGTATTCTCTGTTATGTATCATTTTCTTTAATGTACTGTTACTTATAGTACACGGTTGAGATATATCGCATGAATCTCAGAGATTTCATAGTCATAGGCCTAGTTTCTGGATTAAGATTTACAGCTTGAGCATGTTCATCTAGATTCTACTCAAGGATGAGGTTAATATGAAAAGTTGAAACCAAATTAATGTCAATTGAGAAACTAGGCCAAACTGTATACTTTATATAGGTAACTTTTGCAGTTTATATATTCCACATGCTTTACTTATTCGCGTCGCAACTGCTCTTTACTAATTTATGGCGTATCACCTGGAAGATAGCCGTAGACAGTTCATTGGTGGCGTCTCCAATGAAGCTGGTGTCCTTTGGCTGCTGGGAGCGGGCTCGGCGCACCCACCGCGCGCTGCTTAACCCCACCGTCAGGCATAGCACTGGAAGATGCAGAAAATTGCATTTAGTGTATGTTGATGACATTTTAGTAGTAATCAATGTGCTTACTTGTACATACTAGCAAGCATTCAAGAAACAGACGAACAGACATGATTATTGATTTCATGATAATTCACAATCAAAAATATTTTTATTTATTTAAGACCAATTACCTAAACTAGTACTTGCAAATCGATAAATATGATTTTAAGGAACTTTTACATGTCTCATTATTATTGTGCATAAAGATTCATAATACATAATAATGATATGTTTTTTTAAACGAGGAGATAATTGTTGATATTTATCAAAAACACTAGCTGTGCCCGCGACTTCGTCCGCGTGGAATAATGACTTTGGGTAGGCACTTTTAATAATTTAGTCTAATTATTTTACAAATAGCTTTTGCCCGCGACTTCGTCCGCGGAGAAGTCGAAAACGTTCTCATACGATTTTTAAATGTTTTTAACGTTATTATCTAAATGTTTGAATACTTATAAAATATAAAAATCTTAAAGGTAAAATAAACATGAAAATATTTTTTTCTTATATTTTATGAATATGCACCTCGGCCTTTGATCCGGTGAAAGTTACTCGGTGGTATTATCTTTTTACTACGAAATCGAAAACTACACCTACCGCAGTATTATTGGTTAAGTGGAGGCCCCTAGAGTATGATAGTCTGTAACATGACATGATTGTAAAAAAAAATGCACTAATGAGTAGGTAATTAATATCAACTTTGAAGCAAAACACCACTAAAATAACTTTCTACCCCTTTTTAACATAGTTAGGGGGTGCATTTCACTAAAATACGAAACACATCTTCCATTAATTCTGTTATAGAATGCTTATGCGAAATTTGAAGTAGATTGAACGAAGGAATCTCGTTATCCCATACAAACTTTGCCACCCCTTTTTACCTCCTTAGGGGTAGAATTTTGGAAAATCCTTATCAGATGCTTACGTCTTACAAAGAACACACCGTCCAAGTTTCAGGTCTCTACGATCAGCGATTTAGGCTGTGCATTGATCCATCAGTGGCGCGCGCAGTACTTTATCATTATTTTGCTGCGATGATATTTTAAAACTGCGATATCTCCTAAGATATTTATTGAAATCGAATGGTGTAAAGGCCAAGTATGTTTAAAATTAAATACTTGTGATGAATAACTTATTTATTTGGATAAGGATTAATATCATGTTTATGAAAAAACCTCCGCAAATAATGCATTAATATAAAACAGATTTCTTTTTGCATAAAAAGGGTTACTATGAGCCAACCTTAAAAGATAGACATATACTATCGCGGACTTTTTTTTAGAACTTTTAAAGGGGAACAATCCTGTCATACATGATTTTTGCGAAACTTTAACCGTTTACGCAGCGTCAGCTCTCAAAAGGAAAAAAATCACTGATTTGAAACATTCTTCATTGGTGCTCCGCTCCTATTGGTCTTAGCGTGATGATATATAGCCTAAAGCCTTCAGGAACTAACGGGCTATCCAACACAAAAAGAATTTTTCAAATCGGTCCAGTAGTTCCTGAGATTAGCGCGTTCAACCAAACAAACAAACAAACAAACAAACAAATAAACAAACTCTTCAGCTTTATAATATTAGTATAGATTATCTTCATTGTAATTCGAATAATTTTCCGTTCCAATTCTCACTAAATGCTTATGATTGCTCAAAACAGATATTTGTTCCGGTTGAAAAATACCGAGATTATAACGGATCAAAAATATTCCATCCAAAACTTTCTACCTAGAAACAGAAGAAAGATAAACAAACGAGTGGAATGGGACTATTCCCTCCTCTCGTTCCCACCGCTGCAACTCCTGTGTAGCCAGGATCTACAGCTTCACCGCCACAAAAACCCAACCAATGAAGGTCAAGTTTGTCCTGGGGGAAAGTTAAACTGTCATTGGACCCGCAACGAAATTAATCAGAAGAACATAGGAGGACAAACGAGTGGAAGGAAAACCGTTTCGCAAAATAAAAACCGGGGTCAAGATAAGATCAACATTCGCAAAATTAACAATATTTTTTGTCAAAAGGTTAATCGATTAGACACATCTCGAGTCTGGCGAACAATTAATCGATATTTATCGGTATAACTGTCCAGCATCGATTACATCGGTGTCGATCTGGGTCCCGTAGCGGTATCAATGCATTCGTTTAACTGTACTGTACAGGATATTTGTTTCTCTACAGCTGTTTTACCAGTATTTGCTGTTAACTGGACAGATGAATTAATTTTGTGGTGGTAAAACCTAATATCACTAATAATTTTTCAACTTGCTAATGGTCAAACATGTAGGACAAAAAGATAGAGATATCTGAAAACCTGATGAAGTTCTAATGATGAGGCTTAGTTTTTTTATTAGTATTTCATTTAAGAATGTGTCCATTCTTAAATTGTCATGCAACAAATTACACTTTTACATTCTTTTTAATTAACTTAATTTATCATAAATCATTCGATACCATTGGTTTCCCAATGTCAATATTTTCATTTTCGGTTTAATCCGTCCTTTTCTCTCACAGGTCTAAGCTGTTATTAATTACAGTGATAGATAGACCCGAGAAGCGGAAATACGGAAGCGACAATTTTTATAGCCCAGCCTCCTAGATCTCAAGTTATTTCAAGCCAACGCTATCTTCTCACGATTTAGTTTTTTACACTTAATTTGGACTCTCCATTGTAATATTTATTTTCATTATGTGATCAAAATGTCTTCCTCATTAATACCGGTGTTTGCGGAAGTAGTATACAAATACGGAAATCCAAAATTAAGCAAACAGATTTAATGTCGCTTACCTAATGTTTACTATGACTATCATGCAGCTATGGGCTGATCATGCCATACAATTCTGAACCTTATTGCAATGTGATAAAAGATTATGTAATATCTTGCAGCATCCTGTATAAGTCCAAAGATAATTAGGTTGCATACTGCAACGTATTGCAGCTTTGTGCGAAATAATTGTTATAATTATTCTAATAAGTACATTTATTGAGATGCCACAGTAATATGAATAACCGGTTTGTTACAATGCAAAATATGAATAACCAGTTTATTACATTGCAAAATAAAACATGCGCTGGATACAGGCCGCTAACAACCGGGCGATATGGAAATCATTAGGGGAAGCCTAAGGTCAGCCAGCAGTGGACGTCCAGTGGCTGAAATGATGATGAACAATGATGATGACAATAAAACAGCGGTATGTGTGAGTTAATAATAGTGAGATGTAAAGGGCTCCGTACATTGTTTATCCAGTTTCCAGATGAATACTTGGATTTAAAAACTATGTAATAAAGAAGGTGTCGGTAAATAGGCATATCGATAAAAGAGATATTTCTTAAGACGTCAATTCCTTTACTGTACCTATCTTCTCTTCTTTTGTAAACATTGGGTAACATGTAGGCTTATACAGGGTGTTAGGTAAATGGGTATATGACCCGACACTAGCCCATGTTAACATGGTCATATAAATGGTATGGTGAAGTCAGAAAATTTATATCTTCATTTTAATTATTTTATTTTTCATACAAATCGGATTTTATAAAATTAATTTTGTATGAAAATTAAAAAAAAAAATGATGATATAAAATTTCTGACTTCGCCATACCATTTATATGACCATGTTAACATGGGCTAGTGTCGGCTCATATACCCATTTTCCTAACACCCTGTATACCTTTAGTAAAACAAAAGACCCATTGTTGCTGGCACAGTATTCTGGTAGATACTAACTATACTTCCTAATACTACGTTTCCATACTGCAGAGCAGTGAGTCCCACAACTCCCGCGCATCTAGCGTGACTGCGCAATCAACCTTAATGCTGATGTTATTAACGGTAAAATTACGTTACAGTAAATTCTCTTCACTTACAGCAAGAATGACAAAATATTGCTTTATTTTTTTCACAAAGCGCCTCCTTCTCTCCCATAGCCTTTAGTTTCAGTTTGCCCCCCGTACCTACCTACGTTTTACACCACGACTCTGCGAACCCCTACTAGCTTCAGGGATTATGGGAAATACCAAGATCAAGAACCGATGATCCTACTAATATTATAAATGCGAAAGTTTGTGTGGATGTCTGGATGTTAACATGTTTGTTGCTCTTTCACGCAAAAACTACTGAACTGTTTTGATTAAACTTTACAGTATCATTATTTATAACCCAGAATAACATATAAGCTATAATTTATGACGATCTGTGATAAACTAATTTTCACTCAGGAGAAACAATAGACAACACAAGACCTAAGAAGACACTTCGAACTCATTATAGACTTTTGTAACCCTGTATATGGACAATCTAATTTATGATCTTTAGGAAAATCGCAGCCCAGAAATCGTTGGTATCTCTATGTTCCATATAACACCGTTGCGTTGTATACCGCGGTGCAGTAAAGTAAGGCACGCGCATGCGCTCGGTGAATGCACTGCGCTGACCCTAGCTATTGTGCTCGGGCGCACGTAGCGATAGCAAAACAAAACTGCATCCGAAATACGAAAATAGTTTAATGAATTAAAAAATTGTTAAGAGATTGTGTTCATTCAGTTCCAATTATTGCAGTTGGTACGGTTTGCAAAAATTTTGAAAATAAAATATCGTGGTGGTGTTAGAGTGAGATCAAAATAATGTAATAATTATCATACTAAATTTCATGAAATGCTGGCCAGAACTATAAGGCCTTAAGCTTATATTCTAATATCTTAGTCGCATCTGAGAGAACTTTCTATCCAAATATTCCTAATATTGATTAACTAATGAGAGTGTAGGCCAATTCCTCCATTTTCCTCTGATAAATTAGAGAGGGTCGTGAATGTCGTGATCCTGCAGTGGAAACTAAACGATCAGATGCTGATGATGAATGGGAATAATGAAGAGTGGTATTATAAATAAATTATAAATAAATAAATATCCTTGGACATTTTACACTGCGCTTCTAGTCCCAAACTAAGCAAAGCTTGTACTATGGGT